AAAAAACATTGGACATCTCTTACCATTTTTGGGATCTTCCAGTCTATAATAGTTTGAACTTTCTTAGGATCCATCATAAGTCCATCATTTGAAATGATGTAACCTAAGAAATCGACTTGAATAGTGTGGAATACACACTTTTCTATCTTGGCATAGAGTCCTGCATCTCTTAATTTTTGTAACACACGACGAACATGAAGTTCATGTTCTTTTGGATTTTTAGAATAAATCAAGATGTCGTCTAGATAACATACCACAAAATCATCTAAAAACTCTCGAAAAACATCACTTATTAGAAGTTGAAAAGCTGCCAGTGCATTTGTAAGTCCAAAAGGCATGATGTTGTATTCAAAATGTCCATACCTAGTTCGAAACGCAGTCTTCCATTCATCTCCTTCTTTGATGCATACTAGATTGTATGCTCCCCGAAGATCTATTTTTGTGTAGATCTTAGCTTGATTCAGCTGATCAAGAAGTCCGGATATTAAAGATAGTGGATACTTGTTTTTGATGGTAATCTTATTGAGTCCTCGATAATCAACATACATCTACAATGATCCATCTTTTTTCTTCACAAATAGAATTGGAGCTCCTGCTAGAGATTTAGAATGGCGTATAAAATTCTTGGCTAGATTTTCTTCAATATACTCCTTGAGTTCAGCCAACTCATTTTGTGATAAACTATAGATTGGTTCGAATGGCGGTTGTGCTCTTTCTTGAAGGTCAATTGAGCAATCATAGGGACGATGTTCCATGAGTGTATCCGCATTCTTTTTTTCAAATACATCTTGAAATTCTTGATATTGGCTTAGAATGCCACTTGAAGTCTTTTCACTAGTAGAAACGGGTGTAGCATAAATAATGTATGGTGATTCTTTTATAGCAGCATGCAAGAAAGCTTTTGTACCTATAAATACGGGCTTAATTGAACTGGACTTATGACTCTCTACTTCCTTAACTACACTGTTAGTTATACTTTTAGAAAAAGTGAGAGTTCGAGAAATCCAGTCTATTTGAGGGTTGTATTTTTCTAACCACGATAAATCTAAAATGACTGGATTAGAGGGAGATCTAATGATATTAAATACTATAAAACTATTATGGCCATTGATTATTACTTCTATAGGAAGGGTTTTGTGAGTAATATCTCTAGAAGATAATGGACGACCATCTATGACTTCTACATGAACAGATTTAGTTTTCTTTACTAAAGATATGCTATGTCTTTTAGTAAATTCTTCATCTAAAAAACACGTTGAGGCTCTTGAATCTAACAAGGCAGAGACTTTGTAATGTTTAGGTCCTAAAATAACATTTAATGTAAAACAAGGAGAGGGCTCTGAGGAGAGAATAGGACCTTTACTAGAAGTTGTGCAAGGTTCCAGCCACACGGTCCCTATTGTAGCTGGACAAACTCGTTTTCCGACATATTATCTTCTTTCACAGCCATACTCCTCATTTTGTGATTGCCTCATTTCTTTGGACAATGTTAAGCAGTGTGCTTTGGTTCTCCACAATATAAACATAATCCTCTTGACGATGACGAGTCTTTTCTTCCTCAGTAAGATATTTGAAACGTATTGCATCAATTTGCATATCCTCTACTTCCGAATGTATGTGTTGAAGAAGTGTTGGTGTTGCTATTGAATTCTAGTAACGTTGAGGTCCACTTGTATGCTTCTCAGATCGGAATTCAAAAAGACGATTGTCGCACTTTACAGCAAAGTCAATTGCTTGACTCAATGTTTGAGGATTAGGTAAGTTGAGCATTAATTTTTTTATCTCATATTGTAATCCGTAGAGAAATTGGCTAATAAGTGCACAATCATCCTACTTGATATCAGTTGCAAGTTGTCAAAATTGTGAAGCATATAACATTACCGATCGATTGCCTTCTAGTAAAATACGGATCTTATTAGTTGCAACACGAATTACATCATATCCTCCATGCATGGATCAAAATTCCGCCAAAAAAGCCTCTAGATTATCCAATATTGGATCTCGTCGTTCAAGAAAAGACGAAAACCACGATAGTGCTGAACCTGAAAGAAGCGTACCAATGAATCTAACTTGTGATCCTGGAGTTTGATAGCTTTGGGGTTGAAGTTCAATCACAAGTTGTACTTGATTAATAAATCCTTGAAACTTGGATCTTGTGCCATCAAACTTCTTGGGTAGAGCAATTCTTGGTTCTCTAACATTTGAAGGGCGTTCCACCATAGGAGAAAGGACATGGTTTGGTGCAGATGTTGAAGCAGCTCCAACCATTTCTATATCTTCACTTCCTACCAATCTTATTGCTCCTTGTGGTGGTAAATTGAGTTGATGCATTGCAAGCATTAACTCTCTCAATTGCTCTTGCATTTGTGCCATTGCACTCTTTATTTCAAGAAGTTCTGCCATGATAACACTTAGAAGAGAGAAGATGTCTAATATCGCTCAAGACAAATAGAAGAGAGGACTTGCGGACAAAGAAAATACTAAGGACAATATCAGTTTAGAAGAGGGTAATCCGCAACTTCTAATACGCTTATATCTTATCAAGAAAAAGGGGTAATCCACTCTTAATCAAGATTAGACAAAGCTCTGATATTGTAGGTGTACTCTTGTCAATTTATCAAGGACAAGAACTCGATGAAAAAATAATTCAGACAAGTGAGCCTTCACTCAAAGAGAGGTAACAAATTATATATAAACAAGTATATATATTGAAAGAGAAACTGAAATGGCTATTGCCAAAAGACAAGAAAACTAGAGACCCTTGAAACTAGACTAGAAGCAAGAAAGGAGTTGACAAGAGTGAAGAAGCCTTCACTCTTGTCTCTATATATATTATCTAACTAGGGGCTACGTGACGACGCTCTATAGGACCTCCAATATGTGTTGACTTTGTAGGACACATGCCTTGACTTACAAGGCAAGTTTTTCTACGTGTGGGCCATATAGTTAGTTTGATCTTCAAGCTAACAACTTATGTGGCACATGGCCAACTTGTTGACCACATTTCTAATCCAAAAAGTCAATTAAAGACACCTATGAAGTCAAAGCAGCGTCTAAGAAGTTTCTAGGAAGCTTTCATATTAAATATTATAGAATTAACTTACTTTTACCTACTTTTACTTACTTCTACCTACTTCTATATGTAATTATTAGCTTACATGATTATGGCCGTGACACTACAGGATATTAAAAGTACAATTTTTTTTCCTTTTTCTTTTTTTTTTTAAAATTTCATGTGGCTAAAAAAGTTCAATAGTATATAAAAACTTTCTAAATATAATATTTATTTTTATGTGTACAAAAATTGTGGTTTCAAACTAGTATTATTATATATTTTAATTAGCAATTGTAAAAATATATGCATGTATTTTAAAATTTTAAAATTTATAAAACAGGTTATTTATTATTTATTAAAGATGTTAAAATTACAAAAATGATTTTTATAATTAAAAAATATATATATTTTTAATTTATTTACAGAAACTACGAGGTAAACAACCTCTTTCAACTAAGCAGACACCTTCCTCTCCTCCTTGTGCCATGCACTAGTGCATACACATAGTAAAACTCTTATTTATACAAAAAAAGTTAAGGTAAATTTATAATGAAATATTTATGTGTAATAATTTATATAAATTTTTTAATTTTTAAGAAAAACATATAATAACATTCATGTGATTTTTCATTCACTTTCAAAAGAATATTATTTTTATATAGAGAATTTTTAATTATAAATTTATTTTACATATTTTTTTAATTTAAATAGGAGTTTTAATGTGTTTATACAAAGGTACATAGTATAGGAGTTGTCTACGTAGTAAAAAGTGTCTACCTAGAAACTCTTTTATTTATTTGAAAAGTATTATGATAATAAATATTTATTTACAAAAATTCATATAAAAATAGCTCAACTTCATTATATGATCCAATTCTAAAAGTTGTATGAGTTTAATTATATGCACTATTTAGTTTCTAATGTTTATAAGTCTTACTTTTAAAAATATAAAAAATGTCACAAAGATAATAATATTCTTCTTATTATAATCAAGAGTCTTATATTTAAAGTTTTGGATTATAAAATATTCTTTCAATAATAACATGCAACTAAATTTGGTTGTTGAATTGTAATTAAAAGCATGATAATCAACATGGATTGGAGTTGGTAAGAAACATTTTCTTCAATTTTAATATTTATGTTAAATAAGAGGATTTTTACCAATTATATATACAAATTCTATTTTTTCTTCTTTAGAATGACATCAAAACAAAGCCAAGACGTTAAGGAACACAAATTTTTGGGTGAATAAAGAAAGACAAATGAAACCAATGCAGGTATAACACACAACTCCATGAAGAACTTCCTAACTTTCTTTGCAGAATTGCATATACCGCTCACTTGTTGTCAAACTCCTCAATTCACAAACATACCAGCATTACATACAAACGTACATACGAAATCATTCATAAGATTATATAAAACTATTTACAAAACTGGTTATATATATATATATATATATATATATTTATAGAATCTTATGTACTGTTTTGTATAAAATTGTATATAGTTGCATAAATATAGACACACTGAGACACATGTAATTGAGTACATTGAAGTCACATCACTGCTGTGATGTCTGCCAGTGAAAGCAATTTCTAAGCACATGATTGAGCGGAATTCAACGCGACAGATGTAAGGAGGCTCAAAGTCGGAGGGCCTGCCCCCCAGGAACGGATTACTAACCTTGAAAAAGCTGAAGAGATTGCATGGCAGGTCCTCCTAGTCACGTGGTTATCATAAAAAATAAGGTTAATTGACACAGCGAGGTTGAAGATGCAAATATATCCTATGATTGGCTGGACATGGAACTAAATTAAGAACTGGGAGTTCATCTCGAATGAAGCACCAAACAGACCACTCTGAGAGAGCACCCACAAATATAGCAAAAAAAGCATCACACTTTTTTCCGGATGGATTTCCTTCCACCCTCTACAATTAGAAGTCATGAATCCTCAGGACATAAATCTGTTTTTTATTCCACAGGTTTCAATATAAAAAAACTTCATTCGCACCAAATTCTGTGCTTCTGGACATAATTGTTATGGCCATCACTCCACAGGATGAATTACCGGTTTAATTAATCGCAGAATCGGAATGATAAGGTATGAATACTGTGCTCATTGCAGCAAAGAATAGCCATAGCCGTGAGCTGTGTGGTACATGCTGGAGCTTCTATTCTCATTGCCTGCAGAAGCAATGAGGCCACGCCCTTCAAGACCCGTACAAAGCCAACGATATATATTCAGCCTTCTGCTAATATTCTGTGCGTGAGCTGCCGTTAACTTGGACAAAAACTATTACAGTTCTCGCTAGCTGCGAGTTGAATGACATCCCCTGTTGCTCGCCATGAATTTCCAAGTCCTCTCTTAAGTCTTGCGGAATGAGCTATTTGCCAACCATCGAACTGAGAACATAAACCAGAAATAAAACATTAAAAATAAAACATTGTTGTGAAGGTTCAGGTTTTCTTACACAACTACGCCTTATGGAATAATTAATCAGTGAACGAGAAATGACTGGCTTACAAACACATTCATCAGTCTAAAAAGTCATGCAAATGTAGGTTTTGAATATAATAATCTAACGTAAACTAAACAAATTAACGAATTGCACTCTCTGGTCCCCACAATTCCCATGGTTTTGATGGTAACTACGGATTATGTTTTCTGTTCACTGAATCCTTCGAGTGTCATGCACTGACGTTCTAGTGACCATCTGATCCCCTTCTTGTGCTCACGAAAACTGTCTATCATGTTCAACTTCTCAAAGGTCAAGATTCAGATCCCCACACAAGCTCCCCTAATGAAAGATTGTTTTGACGAACTGGCGACGGGACAGATCTACTGGTGATAAAAACCGTCACAATGCCTTAGCTCATGAGAATCGTCTAATACAGCGGCGCTGACACAGCAATAACAAGAGGAGGGACCATAAGACTTCGTTTAACGATGGTATACTATCCATCAGAGAATTCCAAGCAGATGCCATGAAATGCGAAAATTCACTCATGGGAGACCACTGTATACGAAGAGCATCAACTGTTTCCGGTTTTGAAATGGAGGACGAGAGTCTGTTAAGCCTGATGCACCACCACAAATTTTCAGACGAGCACACAAGATGTGTAAAGAAGCGATGAAGCCCGAACCCAAATTCCGTAAAGGTCAGCTGGTAGAGAAGCAGTCAAACAGAATCACAACGCAGAAGAGGTTGCATTTTGCAAATTCGAGCTTTACGTATCTTACTGATGTGGTTTAAGCAACTCGAAGTAGCTCAATGTCGCCCTCACGGAGCGCGTCTGCAACGATGACCGCGGTGTTCAAGCAATTCTCAATCCACCGTATCAGGCGCTTCCACACCGCGCCGGCAAACCAGTACAAAAAATCCCAACCCGGCTTCATAATTCAACTCTCGCTGCCTCCCTCCCCTCGCCTCGCCTCGCCTCCTCCGATCACTAGACGCTCACTCTGCCACCACAACGAATCCCACCATGTTGAACCCACGTTCAAACCCACTCTAGTATCTGCGACAAACCAATTTCTACAAGGTTTCAACAGCGAAACGAAGAAACTCAACTACATCGCAAACTTACCAATGACACCCTAAATGGCCATGGCTTGCGGTCTCACTCCCAGAACAAGGCTCTGGAGAATAAACCGTGGACAGTGAGAAATGGCACAGCAACGTTCTGGGGACTCGCTCAGTGTAGCATTATTCTCAAAAAGATCACTACGGCAGCGAGCGAGCCTCGTCCACAAGAAGCGATCAAACAGGGGCAGCAAATGAGGTACCCAAATTATACCGGAGATTCAATGCCAGGACAAGAAAAAAATTGACGAAGTAAGGAGACGATGCACTCACCATTTGCCCAGTTGGTTGAACGCAATGGATTCGTTTCTGGGAAATCGTCCCGCGGTGAGTGGATTCAAGGCCGGTCGGGTTTCACCATAAACCCACTTTGGAAAGTAGCCATTCCTTGATCGCTGGCGCACACAAACTGCCACCGGTCCAGGACAATTGCGTAACCGAGCTGCGAAAGTGTACTAATTCCTGGTAGGGTTGCGCCAATCACGATGCAAACGAGTGGGAGTTCTGAAGTTGAGGCATGACTCGGTCCAGGTGGGGAGCTCGATCAATGGCCTTACCTGCAGGAAATTGTCGAACTGTACGTGCGAGACTGGTCAAGAGCCGTCCTCCTCCGACGACAATTTCTCGCAAGCTGTGGGGAATGAGCGCCGCCACAGCACGTTTGAGGCGATTGAGCCCTGGTGTGAGGAATTCCCGGGCGACTGTGATAAATCCTTCCAGCGGGTGTGGGGGAATCGGTGCTCCGCGGTTCAACCCTTTAGAAGATGGGTTCATGTTTCATCAAATCCGAGTTTACGGAATGCACAATGCATGCTCAATTTGATTAAGGGCTGCTGCCAGTCCAATTCAAGACGCATGGTGACGTCCGGGGAGGGACGGCGGCAGCAGCGGCAGCTCCGACGCAATTGGTTGCACTGTTCTTCGTCCGTCGTTCCTTTAATTGGGTTTGTGCATTTTGTGTGTTGTTCATCTTTCTGATTCTTTCTTTAAACCAGAATTCTAAGTCAACAGATTTTTGTGGTACCAAGAACTCGGCTTTCACGTAAAAATCAGATTGCAACAATAGTAGTTATGTGTACAGTATCTTTTCTTTACCTATCTTCATTTTTGTTTTATTTTATTTTCTTCCACTTTCTTCTTCTACTTCTTCGTTGTTGTTGTTGTTTGGATTTCTTTTTGTTTCACGCGTTCCAACGAAATTTATCAAGACTATCACACCACACATTTACAAATCATTGTATCTACTTTTCATTGATCTACCAAATGCTCAGTTCGGTAATTTAGGAACTCTCAAGAGAGTCAAGAGCAGGATTAGAGACAGGATGTGATCTGCCGTTGAATCGAGTGGTAGCTGGAAGCTGTGCGCCAGAGATCCAAGGATGGAGAGCCGATAGCTCTGCAGCCAGCACTGTTACCGTCTATTTGCAGCTCAACTTGTTCCTCAGTGAGGAGCTTTGTACGAGCTTTTGGGTCTGTTCTAGAAAGTGCTCTCCGTCATTGTGGTTTTGTTAATCCACTGCACGATCGCCATTTCCTGGGTTGCAAATAGTGGGGTTGGATCAGAGCGAGCACTGGTGTGATCGATTGCGGTGGGTTTCAAGTCCTTTTCGTACGTGTTTTTGGTGGTGTTTTGTTTTGCGCTAGCTTGCATCATCGTACTTTTCTGACCCTCGCCATTCGTATATTCCAATGTATGTTGTGTGCTAAGTTTACGGTTTCGATTGGATTAGCTTCGTTGCTGTCTCATGAGCACAGGAAGTTTTGTTTTTTCATGATTTTGGATGCCTATCATAGTGTAGAAAGCTTGTTCTGCGCTGAAGCTCGTCCACATTTTGGCTGTTAGCTCCTAAATGGTGGTGTTGATTATCCGAGGTCCGACCTGTTCAATGCTTACAATCCATGGAAACCGCGGCTGGTGCCTTCACCTACCTGAACTTCGTGGGTCGTTCGGTGCAGGTGTAGCATTGTGGCAGTGTGCTAGAACACACCAGGTTTCTTATTCTTATCTCCTGCTTCGATCGCTGTAAACACATACTTAATGCTTCACATTGCACCATTGTGGCGTGGAACCTCAGTCGTTTCTAGGGATACGTGCCAGATCACAGTTCTTTGGACAATCTCGCCTAATCCTGCTGGGTCAAATGGCTGCAGGAAAATAGCTGACTAGAAAACACAAATCATGGCGGACCATGAAGAGAAGGATGTCGTGGCTTTGACACAGAACGTTGGGGAAGTGACCATTGAAGATCGAGCATCGGATAAGCCTGCAGAGGAGGAAGACAAGACCAAGGAGGGTGGAGTGATGAGCTTCATCGACGGGTCAGACCATCGGTGAACTGTTAAGTTGGGGCACTCCCGACGCTGACATTGCAGGGTTCAATGTGCTCAACATTGACACGAAGCACGCTGAGGTATTCATAGATGTGAAGATCACGAACCCTAATCCCATCCCCATTCCTCTGATCGACATCATCTATGAAATCTCGAGTGAAGGTAGGAAGCTCTGCTCTGGCACCATCCCTGACGCTGGAACGATTCATGCCCACAGCTCCGAGATTGTGAAGATCCCGCTTACTCTGATCTATAAAGATATCGTCGACACATTAATCGACATTTAACCTGGTCAAGTGCTGCCCTATGTTTGCAAGGTATGTGGAGTTAAGGATGCATTTTAGGTTTCATGCTATGTGTTCCTCTCTCTATCTGATTCTTTTGAGTTGTCTGCAACCGAGTGGTGAATGCTTGGAAGTTGAAGGAAGCACTGCGAATGGTTGCTGCAGGTAACCCTGTTGATTGATGTTCCGGTGATTGGAAGGATCACTCTTCCGTTGGAGGAGAAGGGAGAGATTCTCGTTCCTCACAAGCCAGATGTAGACTTGGATTACATTGACTGGGACCACCTTTCGCTGGAAGAGACCTCCGCTACGTTGCATTTGACTCTCAAGAACATGAACAAATTCGACATTGATACCATTTTTTCTTTTCTTTTCTCTTCATTTCCTGTATCCTTTATCCGTCAAATTTTGAGCACTTTCGATTGTTCGACCCCCCGATTGCGAAAGCTGAGTGTGACACCTTCAGTGACGGGGGGCAATTTTCTGTCATGAATTCTCCTTTCAGGAATAAATTCTTTCGTATACGATCTGCAGCTTGCAGACCTTTCTATTGGAAAGGCCAGACTTTGGGAGGCAACTACGGTGAAGGGTTAAGGCTCTGGTACCTTGCAGGTGCCTATTACCTTTCGACCCAAGGACTTCGGCGGTGCTCTGTGGGACATCCTCAGAGGGAGAGGCACTGGGTACGCCATGGAGGGATCCGTCGGCGTCGACACCCCATTCGGACCCATGCATCTGCTGTTCAGCAAGTCCGGTGAGACTGCACTGAAGGGCAAAGACGACGATGAGTTAAAGACAACCAACAGCATTTGCAAGCTCATTTCCCCTCGTGTGAAACCAATGCAAAGCTTATCAACCATTCGGTAAATGATCCAACTGTAATCCTTGTCTGTTTGTGTGTCTTGGTGCAGGATTGAAAAGGTGGAGGCTTTAAGATCCAAGTTCCTCATCTCCAGCGACCATTCTACAGGGAGGTACATGTCTCGCCAACTTGGTGAAGCAACAAATCTGGGCGCTTTGAAACAAACTGTGGGGACTTTCTTTCACTAATCCTCTGCCATTACTCTGCGCACTTCTTGTGCTTAGATACAATGTAGCTCCGTTTATTTCCACTTGATGCTAACGAAGTCGGATGATGTGGGCACCGAACGATCAAGTATGTCATGTTGTTCCAAACTGTGGGTATTCAATTTCGACGCTGAAATTGCCATCTGGGAATGGCTCAGGGTGAAAACAGGCTAGGCCTTTCTAAACAACTTTCTGTTACGGTTTCCTTGGACTCCATGATTCTGATCCATCAGGTAGTTGTCCATGACCACCGCAAGTCTTAGTTTTCTTCTTTCAATCTTTTTGTCAATCTACTGGAGTTCATTCCACTTCCAGTTTTCGGACCCGATCTTAGCCTCCTCCCACCCTGTTCTGTTGTCGTTGTTTCCAATAATCCTGATTGCCATCCTGTTTATGCTCATTGTGAATACTGTGATTGTGAAACCTGGAATTGAAGTTACTGTGAAATATGAAAATGGTGTATTAATAGATTCGTTGATTTCGGAAGCAGACATGACACCCCAAATTGTAATCAGCAAAGTAGCATAAACTTGATCAAGAATGCAATGCTTTTGTATCATTTACAAGCAATTACTTGATATTGTTTAGAAAACATATTGATGTCCTTATAGAAATGATCATGTTTCAAAGATGCATTTTTTAGTTTTTTTCTATATTTAATAGAAGTTAATATTTATAAAAATAGATTTATGAGTAATATACAAATTTATAACAAAATATGTTTTTTAAATTTTTTATTGATTTATCATTAAAACATGTTTTAAAGTTATATCAATTTTTTGTATAACATTAATTATTATTTTTAAAGAATATAAACTATATCATTTATAAAATTATATGTAATTAAAAATAAAAAAAAATATTCTAAAGCAGGTATTTTGAAATGCTATAAAAAATAAAAAACAAACATAAATTAGAAGTTTAAAATGTTTATATTTTATATTAGATTTTATTTATTAAAAAATAAATTCTTTATAAAACAATTTACTTATAAAAACTAAATATTAAAAATTAAATAAGTTAAATAAAAGAATTTCAATTAAAAAATTAACAAGAATTTGATTAAAATGAAAGAATATAAGAACAATTGTAGTAGATAAATTTATTGTATTCATTATATAGGTAATATGAACAAGTAGAAGTAGGTAAAAATAAATGAATTTCATAGCATATTTTAAGATAGTTTTTTAAAAGCTTCATAGATGTTGCTTTGACTTTACATGTGATTGTAGTTGATAAGTAGGTTAGAAATTTGATCAATAAGTTAATCATGTGTCATACATGTTACTAACTTATGGAACAAATTAATTATGTGGTGTCTATATAGAAAACTTGTCTTATTAATTAAGATATGTGTCATCCAAAGTTAACATGTTTTGAAAATCTAATAGAATGTGGCTACATATCTCTTAGGTAGATAGTATATATAGAGGCAAGAATGAAGTTTTCTTCATTCTTATCAATTCTTTTCTTACTTTTTATCTAGTTTCAAGAAGTTTCTAGTTTTCTTGTTTTTTGGCAATTATCATATAAGTTTTTTTTTAATATATATATTTATTTATTTTTATTTTATGATACTTCTATGAAAAAGTCTCACTTCTTTATTTATTTTCATTGAGTTCTTACTTTTTATAAATTAATAAGAATATGCTTATGATATCAAAGTTTTATCTTTTCTTCATTAAGAATAGAGTATTGTTTTCTCTTGATAAGACATAAGCATATTAGAAGTTACAAATTATTTTCTTCTAAGTTAGTATTACTTTTAGTATTTTTTTTTTTGTTTTCAAGTTCTTTTTTTTTTTTTTTTTCTTAATCAATATTAGACATTTTTTTTCTTATAGGTATTATTATAATAGAACTTCTCAAAATAAAGAGTGTAATGGCGCAAATGCAAGAATAATTGAAGAAATTAATGCTTACAATGCATCAACTCAATTTACCACTATAAAGACAAACAAGAATATTAGAAAATAAAGATATAGAAATAATTAAAGATATTTCAATATTTGTACCAAATCATGTTCCTTTTCTTATGGTAGAACACTATTTAAATATTAGAGAACCAAGAATTAACTTATCCGAGAAGTTTGATGATATAAGATCAAAGTTTTAAAGATTCATGAATCAAGTACAACCAATAATTGAACTTCAAATCCAAAGCTATCCAACTTCAGGATCACAAGTTAGGTTTATTACAACACTACTTTTTGATTGTGCATTATTATGGTATTCATCTTTTCTTGAATAATGTGATTTAATATTACACAACTTAAAAGTTTTTTTGATAAAATTTCATTGAATGTATGAAGGACATGATATAGTTCATGTTGCAACAAACAAGATCTATATTTTACAACAAAGAAATCAATCTATAACATTGTATGCTTTACAATTTAGACAACTTGTGAGGAACTTCATCTCTATTGATTAAAAGTTATGTCCAATAGATTGTCAAGAGGCTATCTACAACCATAACAAGGATTTTGGCAACTTCAAAAGATGCATTCAAAAATTAAAAGCAAAGATTGTAAGATTTAAAATTTGAACTATAATTTGTGCTTAAATTTTTGAGGATTTGGAGTTAGAGGTAATAAAGTTATAGCCATTTAAAGTTAAGGTGTCTTTTTAAGATATATGGTTGCTCTTTTAGAAATAAAAAAAATTATATAATAGCTTTTGGAGTTTGAGAGGTACAATCACAAGAATGATTTCAAAACCTATATCTTTTATTAAAGAATTATTATATTTGGAATTTATATGAAGGAGTTATAAAACATTGAAGATAACGTATATAATTGAAATGTAGTAAGTGAGCCATTTTATTGATAGTAATGGTTGGAACTATATTTTAAGTTTTTGAATGAATTTTTAGCTCAAAATTTCCAAAATTATGTATTATTAGGTTAAAAAGCTATACATCAAAATATTATGGTATTTAAGTATTTATTTTATGAAATATAAAGAAAATTTTACATGGGTATATATAAGCAAGGGTTTGAAGCTATGGTTAGGATTTTGGGAATATTTCAAGATCCATAATAAATTTTTTATTGAAATTTTTTTTAGTAGTTGTTTAAAATATATCAATAGTTCATGTAAAATTTTAGTTTATTTGGACAATCCGATCATGAAATATGATCTATTAAAATTTGAAAAAAAATCACCTTCAAAATATATCAAGATTTAGAATTTTTTTATCACATTTTGGATGTCTTTTGGTACTTAGGACTTATGTATTGATATAATTATCCTAATAGGAAAAAAATTATATATAAAAATTTGGTGCTTTTTTATTTTGACACTTGATTGAATAATTAGTGGTAGCCAAAAGCTTAACATTTTTTTAAGGAAAATTCTTTCTACTCTAATATATTTGTACTTCTACTTAAAGAGCTTTAAGGCACTAAATTTTCTCAATAAGTCAAGATAAGAGATCAAATCCTAGAGTTTGTATTATCAAGTAGAATAAGTACTCATGATTTATTTAGGGCATTTGTTCAATTTATAAAAAGAGAAGCAACAAGTGCATAGAAAGGATAGAAATACTACCAAAGCTTTATAAGTAGTGGTGGATAAGATTGGAAGGTTTGATGGAAGAGACATTACTAAATTTCTAAGGATTTATACATATGAAATGGAGGTACATCAAGTTTCTAAAATAAAGATGATTACTATCTTTGATTTGGCAGTTATACCAAAAATCAAAGAAAAGGTGCAAGATTTGCATATTGAGGCTATATTATAGAAGAAATTTGAAGAACTCTTGAAAGATGAATTTTTTGAAGAAGATTCAAAGATAATGACAAAACACACCTTTTTGAAGTGGATTAAATTAAGGCTAAAAAATCAAATAGCTTCAAATGAACTAATCAAGAAATTTGAGATTAAATTTGAGTAATTGCTATGACAAAAGAAGCAGCTTTTGGAAACAAAAAAAAACTATATTATTCTTATAGGCAACTGATAAGTATTTGGAGGACAAGATGTTCTTTTATCTAGTAGATAAGACATCTAAGAGTGATTTTATGAATAATTGGAGGCTAATACAAGAGATAATGGAGCTTTTGACTAAACAAAAAAAGATTAAGACTCATAGTTTAATATCAAGGCTAAAGCCAATGCCTACATCTTAAAATCTAGTGTAACTTTGAAAGGTAATCAAGACTGCTAAAGATGACACTTTTTAAGAATTGATCAAAATCATATAAGATTTGAAGATGGAAATGACTAAGTTGAAAAAATTCTAAATGGCAAGTTCATCAAAGACAATTGAAGGCTCAAAAGAATTTGTAGAAAGATGTATATGGTGTGACAATCCAACTATAAGCGTGGTAAGTATGATAGTTATAAGGTTGTAATCAAGAATGTTATTGTATATTTCAAGGAGGGTAGAATAAGATTCATATGATCAAATGAACCTTTGAAGACTAATTTTGAAAATGGTAGCATAAAAAAATTGGTGGAGGAATAAATATCATAGAGTAATACCATAAAAAGAAAAGAAGTTGAGTCTTACTCTATTGCGCTTTAATAAAAAGTAGTTAAGGCTAATTCTTTACCAACTATAGAAGCCATGATTAGAGAAGTTGTAACTATTATCTTGATAGTACATCATTATTAAAAAAATGGTAGGTGAGAGACAAAGAAAAGAAAAAATATAATACAAATAAATCTAAAGGTAAAAATCCTACTTACAAGCTTTAATCTAACATTGAGACATCTATAAATATGAAAAGTATTTTAGAGGAGAGGACCTTGAATGCCAAAATTGAATTCACTCTAAGAGAGGCTCTTGGTATAGCTAAAAAAGATTTCCATGAATTGTTCATTAATGTGATAAATAAAAAGAAACAGATGATAGTTGAAGCTATTGTAATAAAAGTATTAGATATATGGATAACTATGGATGAAGAAAAAGAGATAAGATAGGTATTTGCATAGTTTGCAATGCCAAATATTGGAGGTAAGATTGATATGAAAGATGATACTTTATTTAAATATATTGAAGCTATAAAAAAACATCAAATAGAATATATATCTATGAGATCTATAGAAATAAAGAAGAATGCATAAGAAACATGTGTAAATACTTACTCTAAATGTAATAATGATGGAATAGAAAGTAATAACTATTCAATTTCTTATTAGATTAGAGCTACTATAGAAACATATGTGAAGTTGAGGAATTCTAAAGATCCAATTTTGGCCTTAGTTGATCATGGATGTGAAATCAATATCATATCATGATGAATATATGAGAAGATTAAGTAGCCAATTGATATCAACCAAGGTTGGATAATTAGAGCTAAAAACAACTAATAAGGTAATTT